CAGTTCGGCGAGTCCCCTGAAGAGCCGGGGCCAGGACGCAGGAAACGACGGGCGTTGCAGCCAATGGCGTCGCCCACAATAAACCTGGTACCCAATCCGAAGACATGGCTGCGAGCAGGGGGTGGGAACCACGCCCGACTGCAGGTGACGCCCAGGCGGCGAGGGAATAGTGTCCCGTCCCGGTCAGCTGGCGGGATCCCCGCTTAGCCCGTTCCTCGTGGCGAGTAACCGGGGACCAAGCCGCGGTGGCCGGCCGCGGAACCCTGGTGTGCAGCAGCCGAGGAGCGTGGTGGACCATCCAGAGGCTGGGGCGGAGAACAAGGTAAAGAGAGGTTGCCACCCGCTCCCAACCTCCGCCTCATCGGGGCCGCTCCGTGACGCCAGATGGGGGGTGGGGGGTGGGGAGAGAGAGAGAGAGAGGAGAGAGAGAGGGTGGGGCGCCTCTGTGGCACCTGCGAGGGGACTGGGGAGGATGCCTAAGGAAGTAGAGTTTACCTTTGTCCTTATGGATGGAAAGGGACCCGTCACTGACACTGTCACTCCTCTCCTCCCCGGGACAGACTCACGTTGGCTCGATGGAGAGGAGGAGGGAGGTGTGTTAGGGACTGAGGGAGGCTGGAGTAGCGCTCTTCTTTCTCAAGGTGGGAGAGTCCTGTTGGGCACTGATAGCTTCACTTGGGTATCTGTGTTCATATAATCATAAGACCACTCGATCTTTATTCTTTCCTCCCGACTTCATTTAACAGATAGTTATTGAGCATCTTTCTGCCAAGGAGGCACACTGCGGGCTTGGGGGCCTGTGCTAGCGAGCTGTGGCCGCGGGGGGAGGATGGAGCCGCTGGGGTCCATCCTTGACGTTCCATCTTCCTCAGGCAGCTACCAAGCCATGCGGATCAAAGCAGAGAGATTAAGGCAGCAGGAAGGAGACAGGAGGCAGGGGACTCGGGGGCCTACTGCACCAATGGGCCAGACCGTGTGTGCTGGGGGTAGGGTAATTAGACAGAGGAAGAGCCTTCCCTTGGGGTGTCAGAGAAGCCAAGAGAGGAGTTTGGACAACCGAGAGGGGCTGAGAGACATAAAGCATGGAACAGGAAGTATCTGTTTCAGTGTTTATCTATGGTCATACTTGTGGTTAAATTAGTTAATATATATAAAATGCTTAGAGTAGTGCCTGGTATATAGAAAGAGCAAATATAAGTGTTAGCTATTATATTATTGTTGTTTCTATTTATTATTACTGTTATCAGATGAGATGCTATATGCTCAGAACATGTGCTGGGCTATCATACTGATAGGTGTAACCCCAACCTTTCTAGGTGCCAGACTCTGAAAGTCCACTATTAGATCTTACCTTCTAGAGTAAGCATTGGCTTCTCTAAGATTCTCCTTTAAATGCAGAGAAATGAAAATAATAAATATAAGAAAAAAATGAAATAATATAAAATACTAATCTAACAGAAGGTAAGAAAGAAAGAATAAAGGAACATAAAACAGATGAGACAGCCCTGGCCAGTGTGGTTCAGTTGGTTGAGCATCACCTCGTACACTTAAAGGTCACCAGTTCAAATCCCTGTCAGGTATGGGAAGCAACCCATCAATGTCTCTCTCTCTCTCTCTTCCTCCCCTTCCTCTCTCTAAAATCAATGTTGTTTTTTTAAAAAGAAAATTATTTGCAAATGGATCATAGCCCTAGCCAGTTTTGCTCAGTGATTAGAGTGTCGGCCTGCGGACTGAAGGGTCTCTGGTTAGATTCCAGTCAAGGGCACATACCTTGGTTGCAGGCTCAATCCCCAGCCCTGGTCAGGGCATGTTCGAGAGGCAACCAATGGATGTGTCTCTCTCACATGGATGTTTCTCTCTCTCTGTCTCTCCCCCTCCCTTCCTCTCTCCCTTAAAAAAAACCAATGGAAAAATATCCTTGGGTGAGGATTAAAAAACAAACAAACAAAAAACAAAAAAACTATTAATTTCTAGAAGAAAAAATACAATATCTTCATGACCTTGGGGTAGGCTAGTTTCTTCAAGAGTACACAAAAATCCTTAATCATAAAATAAAAAACTGATATATTGTGCCTGTAAAATTATAAGCCATTAAAAGGTGAAAAGGCACCCCACAGAGTAGAAAATATTGGCAACACATATAACTGACAGAGAGCTTGTCTCCAGTGTATATAAAGAGTTCCTACAAATCAGTAAGAATAACATTTTATTTTTTATTTAAAAAATATTTTTATTGACTTCAGAGAGGGGAAGAGAGGGAGAGAGAGACAGAAACATCAGTGATAAGAGATTCATTGATCAGCTGCCTCCTGCACGCCCCCCTGCTGGGGATCAAGCCCACAACCCGGGGCACTTCCTGGCTGGAATCAAACCTCAGTCTCCTGGGTTATAGGTCGATGCTCAACCACCGAGCCATGCCAGCTGGGCAAGAATAATATTTTTAAAAGGAGGGTAGGGAAGGAACAAAAGATTTGAATAGGCACTTTACAAAAGAAGATATCCAAGTGGCCAATGGATACATAAAATGGAGTTCAATGTCATTCCTACCCAGAGAATACAAGTTAAAGCCACGTTGTGCTATTACCATACCAGCACCAGTATGGCTAAAATAAAAGACTAACAGTTCTAAGTACTGGCAAGGATGTGATGCAACTGGAACTTTCCTACAATGCTGGCAGGAGTACTAATTAGTACAGTCGTGTTGGAAAACTCTTTGGCATTATCTATGAAAGCATTTTTTTTTAAATCCTCACCCAAGGATATTTTAAGAGAGTGGACTGGAGAGAGAGAGAGAAACATCAGTGTGAGAGAGAAACATCAACTGGTTGCCTCCTGCATGCACCCTCACCGGGGCCTGGGGATCGAGCCTGCAACCAAGGTATGTGCCCTCGACCAGAATCAAACCCGGGATCCTTCGGTCCCCAGGCCGACGCTCTAACCACTGAGCAAAACCTGCTAGGGCTTTGAAAGCATTTTAAACACATGCCTACCTTATGGCCAAGCAATTCTCATACCCAACAGAAATGAGTATTTGGGTCCCTCAAAACACATACAAGAATGTTCATGGAAGCTTTATTCATAATAGCCCCAAACTGAGCAAATGTAGAATGGATGCATAAACTATGAAATATTCATATAATGGAATACTACACCGGAATGAAAAATAACTGCTGCACTCAACAACATAGATGGATCCCACTAAAGAACACGGACACAAAAATATACACGGTACAATTGCATGTTTATGAAGTTCAAGACCTACAGTGATAGAAGTCAGAATAGCGGTCCCCAGTGTGCCAAAGCCTGTGAGGAAAGAGTGAGGCCTCTGGGTGTGAGAGGTGGGCAGTTGCTGGTTTATGTACTGATGAGCAGTGCTTGAAGGTGGAGGCTTCTAAGCCTCTTCCCTTCTCCTTAGTAGCACTTGGCACAATGATATGGACTAGTAGGTGTTCAATAAATGCTTGTTGAACAGCTCACTGGAAGAATGAACTGGTGGCTTGGTGCTTCATGAATCTTTTCACTTGCAAAAATACAATTGCTTTGCCTACAAGCCAATGCCTCTCGACACTAAAAGTGAATGGAATGGTCCCAGGAACACCTCAAAAGAGACAGGAACTTCTCATCCAACTACACCTGTGAAAGGGTCCCCGAGGTTACCAGCTCGAGTGCGGGGGTGCAAGTAGCTGAGAAAGTGCATAGGGCTTGGATTCGAGAAACCCTGCCACAGCTGTGTGATCTCAGACAAGTTATTTCACCTCTCTGGGGGTCTCAGCTTCCACATCTATGAAATGGAAAGAATTCTGCCTATTCCAGAGGGGAAGGTGGGAAAGTGTTGTGGTCATTGTAAAGTCATGAGCAGTGACTTCAGGATCCCTCTGGGGGCAGCTTGTGACCCTGAGGCACTATGGAAGTAATGCTGCTGAGGTGGGTTTGGCAGGAGGACCAGAAGCCTGCATGGAGGATGGGACCTCCCCTCCCCCACAGCCCTCGTCCTTATTAGTGGACCCGCAGGGAGACATCTCCTTACAGGTGGAGATCTCTGATGCAGTAAGCAAGTGAGACAAGGTGAAATTCATTCAAACCAAGGTGAGGCTGCATAAGGAGGGGACAGTTCAGACGGCTGTCACAGGAAGCTTCAGGAGCCTGAAGAACCTGCTTCCCTCAGCCTCTGCTCCCCATGGGGGAGGGCAGGGGGAGGTGGGCAGATGCCATCACAGCCTTTGGGCCCTGTTCCTCAACCTGGCTCCTGCCCCAAGCCCCTCTAAGAAATAGGTGTGTTTTTTTGCGA